TTCTTCATTTCTCTTTCTGTTACTTCGTTTTTAATGTATAGAAACACAACCGATTTTTGTACGTCGATTTTGTATCCCTCAACTTGACTGTATTCCTTTATTGTTTCTAAAAGTTTTTTAGTGGATTCTTTAGGGTTTTCTAGATATAAAATCATGTCATCTGCAAAGAGTGAGAGTTTCACTTCTTCTTTTCCAATGTGGATCACTTTCATTTCTTTTTCTTGCCTGATTGCTCTGGCTAGGGCTTCCAATACTTTGTTAAATAAGACTGGTGACAGTGGGCATCCTTGTCTGGTTCCTGTTCTTAGAGTGATAGCTTTCAGTTTTCTCCATTGAGAATGATATTTGCAGTGGGTTTGTCATATATGACCTTTATTATGTTGAGATATTTTCCTTCTATACCCATTTTATTTAGAGTTTTTATCATAAATGGATGCTGTATCTTGTCAAATCCTTTCTCTGCATCTATTGAGATGATCATGTGATTTTTACTCTTCATTTTGTTAATGTGATGTATCATGTTGATAGATTTCTGGATGTTGAACCATCCCTGCATCCCTGGAATGAAACCCACTTGATCATGATGTATGATCATTTTAATAGATTATTGTATTCTATTTGCTAGTATTTTGTTGAGGATTTTTGCATCAATGTTCATCAGTGATATTGGTCTGTAATTTTCTTTTTCTGTTTTGTCCTTGTTTGGTTTTGGTACCAGGATAATGTTGGCTTTGTAGAATGAGTTAGGAAGCCTCCCCTCCTGTTCAATTTTTTGGAAGAGTTTGAGAAAGATAAGTATTAAGTCTTCTTTGAATGTTTGGTAGAATTCACCAGAGAAGCCATCTTGTCCCGGACTTTTATTTTTTGGGAGGTTTTTGATTAGTGTTTCGATCTTACTGGTGATCGGTCTATTCAAATTTTCTACTTCTTCTTGGTCCAGTTTTGGAAGGTTGTATGTTTCTAAGAATTTATCCATTTCTTGTAGATTATCCAATTTGTTGGCGTATAGCTTTTCATAGTATTCTCTTATTATCTTTTGTATTTCTGAGCCGTCCCTTGTAATCTCTCCTCTTTCATTACTGATTTTATTTATTTGAGCCTTCTCTCTTTTTTTCTTGGTGAGTCTAGCTAAGGGTTTGTCAATTTTGTTTATCTTTTCAAAGAACCAGCTCTTGATTTCATTAATTTTTTTAGGAAGATTAGCCCTGAGCTAACTGCTGCCAATCCTCCTGTTTTCGCTGAAGAAGACTGGCCCTGAGCTAACATCCATGCCCATCTTCCTCTACGTTATATGTGGGACACCTACCATAGCATGGCTTGCCAAGCGGTGCCATGTCCGCACCCAAGATCCGAACCCGCGAACCCCAGGCCACCGAAGCAGAACATGTGCGCTTAACCGCTGTGCCACTGGGCCGGCCCCAAAGATGATTTAATATTAGAAAAAACATTAAAAACCCATCATACTAATAGAGTTATGTTACGAAATCATGTGATCATTTCCACGGATCCAGAAAAGGCCAGGGGAAAACTCCAGTGACTAATGATGTTCAAAACACTCAATAAAATGAAATTTATGGATCCTTCCTTCATATGGATAAAATATACCTATTACATAATCCTACCTTATGATCTGGGAGTTTCACTCTGAAATGTCTATGATAGCATTATTTATAGGCCCAACAATGTCTATGATAGCATCATTTGTAATAGCAAAATGCTGGAAATAAGCTAAATAATCAACAGGAGGTACTGCATGTATTCATTCAGTACAGTAGTTAACAGTAGTTAACATAAATTAACTGGTCCTAAGTATATAGGCTGTGCACCTATGTGCTAATTTCTATCTCTGTGACCTCGGCAATTCTACCTAATTTCCCCGGTCTTTTGGTGTTCCTCATTGTAAAATGGAGAGAACAATATCCATCCTGCAGTGTTGCAGTCAGAGAGTTAACATATGTGTAAAGCTCTTTGCACAGTGTGAAACATGGCAAGCACTCAGAGGATAATTATCTCAGATACACTAACGCTGTCTAGTTTACTTAACTAGGTTATAGCAAGTGAAATAAATAGAGCTTAAATAATACGGCAACAGCTACCAGATCCTTTTTGTTATGTTGCCTTAGCTGAGGTCCACAACTCTTGTTGCTTGTATTACTGCAATAACCTCCTATCGAGGCTTTTTCAAACCATGGGTCACATCCCATTAGAGGGCTGTGAAATTAATGTAGTAGGCCAAGACCAGAATTTTAAACAAGGAAGCAGAGTAGAAGATATCACTGAATTGCATGCAGTATACGTCTCTTTTGTTGCGTGAACTATTCTTTCGTTCCATTTCTGTGCTTAAGTCTACCAGGGTGCTATGTAAGAGCATTGACTATGGATGACAAAGTTTGATATATCTCTGCATATGGTCCATTTTCTAAGTCAGCTGGCATGATCTACTGTGATGCAAATCTGGTTATGTCACTTTCCAATGTATTCTTTATAAGTGACTCTCGATAGCTTTCGTGAAAAAGTACAAGTTCCTTACACACAAGGCCCCTCCAGATCTTAAGCTATTTTCCAGCCTTGTCCCTTCTCTATGGCCTCGAGATGACCCCAGTCAGCACCATCTACTTGTAGCTCAGTGGACACGTTCTCCTGTTGGCCTTCATGCCTTTGCGCATGCAGTCGCTCCTCCTGGTTGCCCCTTTCCTCCTTCTGTGACTAACATCTCTTGTGTATGCTTTAAAATTCGGCTTTTGCCACTTCTTTCAGGAAGCGTTCCCTGATTCTCCATCTCCTCTGGGCTCCACAAGAGCTATATCATTAACTTTATAATAATATTTGTTACTGAGTATGGCAATTTTAATTTATTACCCTGTCTTATCTACTAGAGCATAAGTTTCTTGAAAGCAGGGACTGTGTTTCATTTAACTAACAACCCTTACCTAGCGGCAGAGAACCTGGCATCTCCCAGGATCTCAGTATGTGTTTGTTGATTGATTGACTGATTGATTGTACCTACCTGGGTGGCAAATGAGAGATCCAGGTAGACATGATGAAAATCTTAGGAATAAATTTGTTTGTTTTTTAAGTTCAAAATCTGGAATTTAATTGATATCCAGTTTATTATTTTTTATTGTAAGAAAAAAAAGAGGACCATTTGGAGTCACTGACTGAAAAGCAGATATAAATATCATTACCCTTTGATATATTGTGGTCTTTTTTCTATGAATTTTAACTAGAATACTATAGTTATGAAACCAATATTTTTGTGCCTTTGATGTATATAATCCTTTATACATATACATATATAATTATAGGTATATACATAAAAGACAGCTTGCTAATGTCTGAAAGCAGCTAGTTAAATAAAGTTTATCTGCAGAGCCGCTTTGTGGCAGCTGTCCCCAGTAAACACATCTCTTGCATTATAGGGCAATAAGTTTTTTGAGCCAAAAGCTATGTCAAACCATTAGTTATCAAAAAAGAATGACATGTGGGTAGTGAAAATTCCTTTAGATAGATTGCATGTGGCTCTGACATAAATAAAATATATTGTTCCTCTTCAAAGATGTATTTTATGGTTTTAGGCCATTTTTAGTTCATATTTTCCCCCTCATTTCCTGTCTTTTGATCATTTCTTTATGACTCACAGCTTTGTAAGGCAGGGAAATAGGGAGAATAGGTGAAAATCAAAATGCAATATAAGCTCCTAATATTCATAAAAATGACAGTTAAGCGCTATTCCCCCCTCACTCTTTATCAGACATTTAATAAGTGCTGTTACATGCACTGTGTGTTACCCCATCAAACCCTCACGCCAAGCTTATAAGTCTTAGTTGGGGAAATTAAAGTTTGGCAATGTAAAGCAAGCTGCCACAGTTGCATAATTGGATCTGGTTTCTCATTCTTTCTATTTAAAAATGGCAAAAATATGATTGGAGAGAAGGTAGAAACAAGGGGCTAAACTGAGAATTTGAGTGCATCTTTGTAGTTTATTTCTTAAAAAACTTCTTCCTGTCCATGGATTATAAAGAATATTCTGGATAACAGATGTCATACGGTATTTCACAGAGATTTTACTTGTTTGGTACATTTTGCTGTACCATTGAGAAATTAATAAAAATCAAGAAAAAAATTCATTCATTCGTTTATTCATATTTTAATGTCAGGAGATATAGGCAAAAATAGGAAACATTAGAGTCAGTGAATTAAGGATCTAGACATGTAAATGAAAGTTATAGTATTGTAATCAGAGGTGTAATTGATACAAACATGCAACAAGAGAAAAATAGAATGACCACTTAAGCACTGAACTCTTCTTGGAGAAATCAGGGAAGACTTTCTGAAGAGGTGACACTTGAATTGAGTCTTGAAGGATGAGTAAGAGATTGCCAGCTGATTCCTTAAAAGCATGTTAAAAAATATGGAGCATACGGCAGCAGTGGCTCAAAAAGCTACTGCAAAGAACAAACGTCTAGAAAGATGATAAAAACAATAGCTAAGTGATCAGAATTACTACATCTTCTTGGACATTTCCTATTACTCAGGCTTGACAGTCTGCTGAAATGACAAGTAAGAAATGAGCCTGCTTTATGAATATTTGACAGGAGTTTGATGGTGGGGAATGAAGGAAGAATTGGGAATGAAAAAGTTTGCCAACTACTGTTCTGAAGTACTAGGTGCCTCATCATTTCATTTTTTCAGATTCTCTAGCTTTCTAGGTTGAATGAGGCGCAGTCATAACAATGCCATTACTCTGAACATTTACTGTTCATTCCTAGGTAATGTGCTAAGATCGTCCTCCTTCTGTTCATCACCCTTCCTCAACTGCTTCTGAATTCTTGACAATCACATTAATCAGAGGACCAAAGGAATATCGTTAACTACCCTTGAAATTCACGGAAGTACTAATTTCAGGGAAAATCCCAAAGGATCTTTCGACTATTGTTTTTGCACACATGAAATGATGGAAAAGAGTAAAATCAAGAATAGAATGCTTTTTCCTTTTCCAGATCCGCTTGGTGCAAGTGCAAAAGAAACCACAGATGGAAGCTCACAGATGGAAGCCCGCTGATCATACAGCTGTTTCTTTGTTGGTACGGAAAACCAATTGTGGGTGGCGGCAATGGAGGCCGAGACAATATTAGAATGCAATGGCATTTTAATTATACCTACCATAATTCTAATGTTCTGTTCTGTGGTGAATTGTTTGGGGAGTTGTTTTGAAATTAGAATCCAATCCTTCAAACTTGAATCAATTAAAGTCGTTCTGTTTGGAAATACACAGAGAAGCGAGTTTGCAGAAGATTTTCCAGTAATCTTGCTTTGAAATGTTTAAACTTCCTCTGACGACTCTTGGGTTGGAGAGGAGAGGGAAGGGAGAAGGCCAAGATTTAAAGTGCCCCATTTCTGTTCCCCAGGGATATCCATTGGAGAACATCCTTAACTCCTTGAACTATTTATACTGTCTCTGAATACTCTTACCAGAAGCCAGGCCTGCTGGGCGTGAATCCAGCTTGCCTGAAAGAGGTAATGTGACGCTAAGTAAGGACTACCACCCCTATTTTCCAGGAATAGAAACCTGAGAGCCGGTTAAGTAGGCTACTTGCCAAGGTCACACTTAATTTCATTTCATAAGTTATGATGAGCCTGCTATGTTCCAGGCACAGGCGTGAGTGAGAGAGACCCTGTTCTCATCCACCTGGAGCTTATTGTCTAGTAGGGGCAACATACTAAACTAATGAATTAATTATATGATAAATGTAATAAATGCAAAGTATAGGATGATGTGAGAGCATAGAGGAATGGAACTAGAAACAGTTAGGGGGGCAGCAAGGGCCCTCCTGGGTAACTGAAGGCTTGCATCCTGAACACAGTTAATGTAGGTTAAGAAAGAGAGAAAAAGAGCTCCAGAGAGAGGGAACAGCTTGTGCGAAGGCTTTGTGGCTGAAAGGGGAGTGAGTTGTTTGAGGAACTGAGAGAAGACCGGTGTGACGGGAGTACAGAGACCTGGAACAGGAGGCCAGGGGAGTGGGTGGGGCCTGGGCTAAAGAGAGCCTTGTAAACCACACTGATATTTCACTTTATTCTAAGAGCGATGGGAAACCAGAGATCTTAAAGAGGGGAGTGACGTGCTCCAATGTGAGCTTTTCTTAAAGGTCCTTTTGGCAATTTTGTGTAGGTTGATTTGGAAGGTGGCAAGTCTGGAAGCAGATTTAATCAATAGGTACTGGTGGCAGTAGTGACAGAGAGAATCGTCCAGATCCGAGAGTGATTGAGGAATCAGATCAGAAAGGTTTGGTGACCGATTAGATATGAATTATAAAAGAGGAGTCGTGTTCAGAACAACCCTGAGTTTTCCCAATGAACAAATGAGTATTTGGTTGCGTCAGTAGCTGACATTATGACCCAAGAGAAGGACCAGGCTTGGTGAGTGGGCGTAGGATACTGTGAGTTCAAGTTTGAACAGCTGAATTTGGGGTGCCTCTGAGAAACACTCAGGTGAAGTGGCAGAAAATAAATGGAAGAGCAGAGGTGCTACAGTGAAACAAACCTGAATTTGTAGTCCCCATTCTGCCACTTACCATCCACGAGAACTTGGACAAGTTTTTAAATCTTCTCATGCATCACTTTCCCCATCCGTAAATGGGGATAGCAATAACAATACCTCTACTGAGCTGTTGTGAAGATCAAATGAGAATACACATCAAACTAACTGCAGATACTTGGTGGGCGTGAAATGAGGCGTTGTAGGAAAGGGAAGAGAGAGCAGGCTGAGATGACTCTTCATCTTTTTTTGTCAATTAAATTTTTATAAGAATGTATATGTTATTACAGGCACACAGAAAAAAACAAAATAAAATATGAAAATAAATATAGAATATAAAATTTAAAAACATGCATGTCTAGGTGCTTGGCATAGCACTTGGTGAACAGGCAGTAAATGTTAGCTGTTTGTAGACTCAGGGACCGAGAACTCTGGACTATCCGGTCTAGAGGTGCACCTGCACTAGTCCTTGCCTTCCGATAGTAACAAAAGCCAGGGGAGTTGATGAAATCATCTGGAGAGAGAATTTTGGGTAAAAGAGGGCCAAGGGTTGAACTTTGAGGAATTCTAACTGTTAAAGATCAATTAGAAGAGACTGAATCAGCAAAGGAAACTTCGAAGGGGCAGCCACCAAGGTGGCAGGAAAACTGTAAGCATGGGCAAGGTGAGCTGACATTCTGAAGAAGGTGTAAATGATATGGCATGTTGTCGCAAGATCTTGTGAGTGGAAAACTACAAAGGGTGCCCTGGATAAATGAAACTGGAGACTTGAGCAGACTCTTTGGATAATCAGGCAACAAGCTTTGCTGACATGCTATCTGGTTCTTTATTTTAAATAAAATCTGGCTTCTGTCCTGGAAACTGGGCCAGTCAGTTGGTCATCTGGAAGTTGGATCCATATTTCTTATGAGATTCTCAGTCTGTAGGGGGGTGCTACTTAAAGTGGAATCAATTTATATAAAATTAAAAAGATCAGTGATGTCAGAGAGGAAAACAAAAATGTACAAAGGCAGAAAATTTTGTTTTCTTTATTCATAGTCCCGGCCAATGTATAACCTTTAATTTTCTTCAATAAAAATTATTTTTTTTTCTTGAACTATAATTCCATAGACAACCATCCCTCTTCCTAGTTTTCTTTTTTATAAAAATGGACACTTTCCCCCTTATTTTTGGAAAAAATGATGATTGTCTGATCTCATAAAAAAGAAATGAGTTTTTTTTATACTATATACGTATATGAAAACCACTTTATTTTGGATAAGTAGAAAACTTCCAAAGGGAGAGATGGGTTTAATTCCATGCCTTGTTTTTCAATCACATAGCATTTTACTTTAAGGCACTAACAAATGCTAGTTTTATTGGGAAATAAAGCAATTAACCCTAATCACACCATGGAGAGACTGGGAAATGAAAGAAGCACATGGGTCATGATGAGTTTGTGGTTTCAGATGGCATCCTGAAAGGCAAGTCAGAGCTCCAAATTCTGCTTGGATTCTGAACCAAAGAGGCTGAGGGAGTAAGAGGAGGATGCTTTAAATAGTTCCTCCTACTCTGCATCAGTTCTACACATTCAGAACACCGAAGTTAACGTCACTGTTTTTGCACCTTTAACTTCCTACTAGCCCAGTTTTGAATCCTAGGTAAATCACTTACTTCCACGAACATCACTTGCCTAATCTGTGAATTGGGGATAACGGTACTGCCATTCTCATAAGGCTGTTAGGAGGAGTGGATAAGTTAACACAGGCAAAGCTCTCGGCATATGGGAATCTCATGGATAGTGTGGCTAATACTCTTAAACACAAGAAGTCCTTGAAGGGGCTTGTTAATCTGTTCATTTTCATCTGTCCCAAGCTCAGTTGGGAGATGTCTCTCTGTTCTCCCTAATCTTCTTCTCTCAGACTTTGAGATCGTCTTTATGAACATCACAGGTATGGCTCTCAATCAACAAATGACCTCATTTATGCGAAATAAATGTTTTATTTTCCTCAAACTCAACCTGATTTTTATTTTGAGATCTTATTCTGCCAGGAAGGGTAGAAAAGATCTCCATCAATTTGAGGATCTCTCTTTCCCCCCTCCCTGCTCCTTTCCCTGGGGTTGTATGTAAATGTGTGAAACATACGTAATGTTAAAGCTTGGGAAGGAGGGACATTTGTCCTTAAATGTGCAAGAAGTGGCTGCGACGTCCATGCTCTGGCCTGGTCCTGACTATCCAGCCTCCACAGTCCCACTGGGAGGCTGTGGTTCTTAAGTGCATGGTCCCATCTTGTCTGATGTCTCCTCTAACAGCTGGGTGCTAGGACACTGGACTCCCTCCCTAGGGTGGGGAAGCTTTCTTCTCAGTTTTTAAAATACAAAAACCAAAGACTTGTAGGTTATTTCTACTCTCTCAGCTCTCACATCCCTCATTTGTAGCAATGAATGCAAAGCCACTTAGCTACTTGGTGAAGAAAAAAGGAAAGGGACCATCGGAGAGTGAAGGACCAAAGGCAAGTATCTTGAGTATAGTGCCCCACCCCTCAAGTTTACAGACATATTATGGAGGTGAATGCTTTGACCCCTGGAGCATTTTGAAGTGATATGTAGTAAATGAAGCATCATGCGAAATTTATTATGTATACCCAAGTCAGCAGAAAGACATTTTAAAAGTGCAAATTTTGTTTTTCTTCGAATAAACCATGACTGTAAATACTGACTTAATGAATTTTAAAATCTTCCATGAGTAATACAAGAGGGTTTATTACACAGCCTAGTGAGGGGAACTTTGAAGTCAGAATTGTCACACCTATATCAAAGAGACAGACAAGGCCAGAAATACTACGCATGCTTTGGAAAAATAAATCAGTTTTCTCTGGTGTTTGCGCTGTGAGTGAAGGCCCGACTCCATGATTTTTGGCATTATAAGAATTTTTCTTGACTTCTGGACCCAATAATTCTGCAGAATTTAGCAAGAGAGAAAAAATGTTTGCCTTTATCCCCTATGGTCCACTTGTAAATGGGGCTTTTCTGTTGCCTTTGGTTATTTCCTGCATTAACAGTTCTTGGAGGAAAAATAATTCAAAATTTGGTTTTTAGAGGGGACAAAAAGATTTGGAAGCATTATTTACCTACTAGACAGAAGCAGACCTTGGTGGCCATCTGGTGCGCCATGTTTTTGGGTAATTAACATGCATCCACACTTCTATTTTGTTTCCTTTTTGAAGTGAATCTGAAAATGTGTGCTAACAGACTGTCTGCAACACAAAGAAGCCAATGTTAAAAAATGGTTATACTCATCCCCTTTCAAAAAACAATGAAAAAAAAATCTCAAATTTTGTTTTGCCACCAAAGGCAGAAGCTGCTCTGAAAGTTGCCAAAGATTCTGGGTCCCAGACGGAATAGCATGTTCTCTTCAGTCACCACATTTGGTGAGCAATGTTGTAGGCCCAATATTCCCCCTTTTTTTCCATCAGACTGTCATTCAGAGCCTTTGGGGGAATATTTACCTGATCGAATGTTCACGGCCACAGTGGTTCAGCCCCATTCGTGGACTGGATTCTGAATCTG